ATATGCATTTTCAATGTAAAAAAATACAATGGACACTATAGGAATTTTGGAAAATACACATAAGCAAAGAGAAAAAATACCCATTGATTATCATGTGTGCATAAAAATACTTGTATTTACTAGAAAAATAAGATCATTATTTTATAACTAGTATTTAAATATATCATAACAGACATTTTCCATGTAAGTAAATATGTATCAACTTATTGATTGGTTAATATTTTTTTAATATGCAATATACATAAATATATTCATTCAGGCCTCTGTTATAGCTGTTTCTTATTTTCTATCATTATAAATACTTTAGCAAATACTCTCATACTTATATTTTTGAACACCTATCCAATTTTTTTTTTTTCCACAAACTGGAAGTGGATTTGTTCTATCCCAAGAAAAATTTAAAATATTTGTGTTTTCGTGGATATTAAATATTTTACGTAAAATTATATTTCAAGATTCAAAAGTTACAAACTAAAAATTATTACAAAATCCATGACCCTGAGACAACTACTGCTACATTTAAGAAAATATTCTTTTATAAAATTTATGCATTCACATTATTCATGAATTCATATAAAAAATAATATTAAAATGCTATACTGTAACTTCTTGTTAAAGCCAAACAACATGTCAAAGGAATATTTCAATGTGCATTAACATAATCAGCTGCTGCATGGATTTCCTAGTTTGAGTGGATAATTTTACCAATCCTTTACCAATGAATGCTTAACTTTCATTATCATAAACAAAGTTATATTAAACAACTTTAAATATATAATCCTTGTTTCCTTAGGGTAAATTTTATATAACATTATTGACAGGTAAAAGATCTAAGCAGCCTCAATTTAAAAAAATATTTCCAAACAGCTCTTTAGAAAGACATTTCTCTACTTCCTAGTACCTATCTCACCAAAGATCACAACTGTCAGTGGTTCTACTCTTTGTTGAATTGAGAGGAGAGGAGATCATCTGCTTTTATTTTGTGACTACCATTTTATGTGCCTACTACATTTCTGCTTTCATGAAAATTATCTGTTTATGACTCTTGCTCAATTTTGACTCTCTGAAAATAATCCCTAGAGGCAGAAAGAAGATCAATACTTTCTTCTACTTCTCTCTACACTCTCACATCTATCACTTTCTGGCAGAAGTCCTGAACATGTAACAAAGTAGATAGAAAGAAAACCTGTTCAACATTAATCAAGAATTTCCCTGTTGTCCCAAAGTTAGAAAAGAGTGTGAATTAGACACAAGAATACCCATCCTAATCCAAGAAACCAATCTCAAATCTAGAAGTTGATGTTTTTTTTATTAATGGCTGCCTAAAAATTCAATGAATACCATGCTGGAATCCTCTACTTCTAGATAGTTACATCCAATTTTACACTATTAAAAACAAAATGAAATA